GGGCCTCCCCTAGTTTTATTTCTTGTTCTCACCAATTTTATCCTGCTTTTGGCTAACGCAGACATGTTCTTTAAGTCCAGGTTATCTCTTTTCAGCCTCTTACAAAAGAGCTCCCCTCGTGTAGATAAGATCAATACATGCTTTGGGATGGCTCATGTGACTTTAAGGGATAAAGTGGGGGCCGTAACATTGCCCATTACTTCCCAGCAACTTTCAAAGAATTGGACAGATTCTTCTCCCAGTTTGCTTTCTTTTTTAATCCTCTGCAAAGGCATCCATTTTCTTCCTTAAATCTTCTTTCCAAGTTTTCTGGTTTCCCAAATAGCTCCACCTATGCCCCCACTCCCGCCCCCAACAAACTTCAATTGCCTTAGCTAGCCTGGCGATATTATGCCAAGGGAAATGTACTTTTGTGACTGTGGAGAAACTAAAAAGAAAATGAAATCTAGACACAATCAAATTTGCCTGTGTCTGTTCTGCCCCTTCGGGTAATTTTGCAATTCTCTCCTTAATTATACCAGCATCTAGAGCTATAATATGTATAATTGCAAGGCAGTTACATTTAAAAAAAAATATTTTTTTTTTAACAGAACTGTATAATAGAAGAAAATCCGTCAGCTAAGAAATACCTGTCAATATCATTTCTCTCTCTGTCAGTCTTCTATCTATCTATCTATCTATCTATCTATCTATCTATCTATCTATCTATCTATCATCTATCTATCTATCTATCTATCTCTATCTCTATCTCTATCTCTATCTCTATCTCTATCATCTCTATCTATCTATCTATCTATCTATCTATCTATCTATCTATCTATCTATCTATCTATCACCTACCTACCTACCTACCATCTATCCATCCATCCATCTGTCCATTTATCATCTATCTATATCTGGTATGATTAGAGATAGAAGAATCAGAAAAGTAGTTAATTTATGGACCTAATGTTGAGACATTTATATATAGAACAAGGAGAAGGAGAAGGAGAGGAAGGGGAAGAGGGAGGAGAGAAAGGGGAAGAGGGAGGAGGAGGAGGAAGAGGAGGAGGAGAAGAAGAAGAAGAAGAAGAAGAAGAAGAAGAAGAAGAAGAAGAAGAAGAAGAAGAAGTATTAGTAGTAGTAGTAGTTATGTAAAGATTTGCATAAATTTTTCCTCACACTGAGGATTGTCTCATCACAAGGTCCGAAACTCCAGCTATCAGAAAATAGTCTTCCATTTCTAGCATGCTGCTGGGAAGCTTATGGTATGAGAATGTTCTGCCAACAATCATTGAAATACACAGTAAAACCCTGAAAACATTAACTCCTAGTGTTGGGGAGGAGAAATTCAAGCAACAGAGGCCAACCTTCTGTTCAACACAGGAATGCCAACTAAAGCCTCCTTGACAGATGGCGGTCTATCTTCTGTGTGAACTCTTCCAGGGTTGAGGATCCCACCACTTTCCTAGGCCTCTTAATTCTTTTCTTGAGCTTCTCTTAAGAGTTAGGAAAGGTCTCCAACTGGACCGCAATTCAGAAAACAAACATAATGCCCAGTCAACCAATCAGCAAAGCAACAGAGACGTTAGACATGAGGGGGTCCTTGGTGCTCTCTGAGCTTGGTTATTTTCTTCCAGATGTTTCATTACCCAAACTAGGTAACATCATCAGTGCTAGAACGGAGGAGGTGGAGGAGGAGGAGGAGGAGGAGGAGGAGGAGGAGGAGGAGGAGGTGGGGGATGATGACAATTGTAGGGTCTTTGATGCTTTCTGAGCTGGATTGTTTTCTTGCAATTTCATGACCCAAACTAAACAACATTATCAATGCTTTTTATCTACTCTTGCTAATCCCAAGCAAGGTTTCCACGACTGGAAAAAAAAAAAGGGATTCCCGATTTCCCCCAAAATTTTGAATAGGATACAAAACGCGAGCAGCATCCCGATTTCAGACGAAGGTGCGCAGACAGGTGGGAAAATTAACCCCTTCACGTTTTGACATCAGTTCAACTGGCAAGCTCTTCTTTCAACCTCCTTTCAGGTTGAAAAGCCACAAGTTTCTGGGGGGGACAAACGAGGCCTTCGCAACACACAAAACGGGACTTCAGCTGAAAGCCACCGAGTCAGCAAAAAGTGTAAGAGCAAGGAATATGTGTGTGTGTGTCAGAGGTGGGTTTCAGCAGGTTCTGACCAGTTCTGGAGAACCGGTAGCGGAAATTTTGAGTAGTTCGGAGAAACGGTAGTAAAAATTCGGACTGGCCCCACCCCCATCTATTCTCTGCCTCCCGAGTCCCAGCTGATCGGGAGGAAATGGGGATTTGGCAGTAACCTTCCCCTGCCACGCCCACCAAGCCACACCCACAGAACCGGTAGTAAAAATGTTTGAAACCCACCAGTGGTGTGTGTGTGTGTGTGTGTGTGTGTGTTTTACAGTATGGACAACGGAGAAGCTTCGTTTCATCTTTCCTGCCCGTCCCCATCTTGTAGCAGATGTCAACCGCAGTTAAGATCAGCTCCAATTGTGACTGTGCTGCTTTTAGCTAACAGCCATTCGTAGTGGCAAGACGCATCCCATCCCATACGTCTTCATAAGAGAGCTCCCTTTTAAAAATGTATGTGATCAGTCCCATATGTTAAGAGGAATATGAACATCCGTCACTCACGGTGGCATCGGAAGTGACTAAATGGTGCCGAGTGGAAGCAGAGACACATTAATATTCAAGGGGAATCTCTGGTCGTGTTGGGGAAATAATAGAAATGTCAGTCTTTTCAAAAACAAAAGGGGAAAAAAAAAACCCCACCAATCACCAAACCCACCCTAGCATAGCTTCCCTCTGTGGATTGTTTGCTTTACAATACAAAAAAAAAAAAAAAAGTTTTGGGAAAAGCACAACAGTTTCAGGCAGGAATAGAGAAATCTTTGAGTTGCTGAGATTCAGTTCACAGAATGCAAACTTTGTTGGCACCGGGTGGGGAGAGGGTAGGGGTGGGGGTGGTGGGGAAGCAGGAAGTCAAGATTTCCAATGGAGCTTTTCCAACTTAAATTATTATTATTATCCTTCTCAACTTTTCTACTACCTTTTCTTAATAGTATGATTATATTACTTTGTTGTTTGTATGTACACTGAGAGCTTATGCACCGGAGACAAATTCGTTGTATGTCCAATCACATTTGGCCAATATATTCTATTCTATTCTATTCTATTCTATTCTATTCTATTCTATTCTATTCTATTCTATTCTATTCTATTCTATTCTATTCTATTCTATTCCATTCCATTCCATTCCATTCCATTCCATTCTTTTCTTTCTAATTCTACTCTACTCTGCTCTGCTCTGCTCTGCTCTGCTCTGCTCTACTCTACTCCACTCCACTCCACTCCACTCCACTCCACTCCACTCCACTCCACTCCACTCCACTCCACTCCACTCTTACATTCCTATCCTTATCCTTATCCTTATCCTTATCCTTATCCTTATCCTTATCCTTATCCTTATCCTTATCCTTATCCTTATCCTTATTCTTATCCTATTCCACAAGTATTGAAGCTAGGACAACCTTCATGGAGGTCTGGGCCCAACTTCCAGGAATATCATTTGAGACACAAATGACAAGGGTCAAATTGTCACACTGAACTCTCCAGAGAAGTTTATAGGTGTTGGGAAAACAGAAAAGAAGAGGATGACCAACATCAACATGGATTTGACTCAGTTACCATGGCGATAGGAAGAACTTGTTGGAGACAAATTGTCCTGGAGAAAATCTACTTGTGCAATCATGAAGAGTCAACACCAACTCGATGGCACATCATCAATCAATGAATCAATGAATCAATGAATGAATCAATGAATCAATAAATCAATGAATCAACGAATCAACGAATCAATCAATCACCTCTGCCAAATTTTAGAACTACAGCAAAGCAAGGAATGTTAGTTAGTTCTTCTTTTAGAAAGGTAAAGGTTCCCTTTGCACATATGTGCTAGTTGGTCCTGACTCTAGAGGGCGATGCTCATCTCCGTTTCAAAGCCAAAGAGCCAGCGCTGTCCGAAGACGTCTCCATGGTCATGTGGCCGGCATGACTAAATGCCAAAGGTGCATGGAACACCGTTACCTTCCCACCAAAGGTGGTCCCTATTTTTCTACTTGCATTTTTTAACATGCTTTCGAACTGCTAGGTTGGCAGAAGCTGGGACAAGGAATAGGAGCTCACCCCATTACGCTGCAGTAGGGATTCAAACCACCGAACTGCCGACCTTTCGATCGACAAGCTCAGTGTCATACCCACTGAGTCACCGCGTCCCTGGTAGCTCTTTTTTAGGACTCCCTAAAAACATTATTATTGGTTCAGTCGTAGTTAACCAGATGTTCATACTGGATTTGGCCCTTCTGTCTACCTATTGAGTCCTTCCTAGCTGCCTTCCCTGTTTCCCCGAAAATAAGGCCTCCCGTAATAATAAGCCCAATCGGGCTTTTGAGCACATGCGCTAAAATAAGCCTCCCCCCGAAAATATTTCACAGCAGAGCTGGAAATCAGGTAAGGTGGCAAGAGGAGCCCCATCTTGCTCCACGCACCCCAAAATAATAAGACCTCCTCAAAAATAAGGCCAAGTGCTTATTTCGGGGTTCAAAAAATATAAGACAGGGTCTTATTTTCGGGAAAACATGGTAAGCAGATGTGCATGTTTATTCTTCTTCTTCAACAGCTATTCACAGATATCTAATAATCTAATATCTAATAAGGTTGATATTCATAGGTGCCACGTATTATTTTATGCAAAGATTGGGGCATGCCATCCACGAGAGACTGATAAACTAAGGTTATTCTTGTTGACTGTGTTTTTACCAGGATGGTCATTCTTTTTATTGCAAACAACCACAGAATAGCCTCACATACTTATCAGGTCAACTGTCACTGGCTGTGGGATTTTGATTGGCTCTCTTTTTCCCGAAATTCAATAAATTTCCACCCTGCTCTTCCTTTTTCAATGAGTTTTAAAAAACAACCAAAAACACTTACTTTGCAGGAATGTTTCGAGGCTTTGTCTTCTCTGCGGTCTATGAATTAAAAAAAAAAAAACAAGAAGAAAAAGAAAGAAGGAAAGTGAGAGAACAGTTAGCAAACCATAGCCAAGAGGAACCTTTTGGAAAGGGGTAATGCAAATTACTCTTGGTAAAGAAGACCATCTATTTCAGAGAACAGAAAATCATCCCAGTGATGGATCCAGCCATAAATTAAACAGAATTCAAGGTGGGAGAAGAAACAGTTTATCTATTGCATTGAGCTGTGCTTATCTTTCTTTCTGTCTGTCTCTCTAGGCAATCTTCCTTCCTTCCTTCCTTCCTTCCTTCCTTCCTTCCTTCCTTCCTTCCTTCCTTCCTTCCTTCCTTCCTTCTCTGCCTGTCTCTCTAGGTAATCTTCCTTCCTTTCCTTCCTTCCTCCCTCCTCCCCTCCTCCCTTTCTTCTTACCTACCTATCTTTCTCGTCTCCTCTCTTCACTCTCTTCTCTCACACACATAAACTCCTCTCATCTCTCTATCCACTCACACACCCACACACACATATATACACACATGCATAAAGATGTACATGTACATAATGTACATATCGTATGTACATGTGTATATACTGTGTTTCCCGAAAATAAACCCTCCCTTGAAAATAAGCCCCTCTCCCTAAATATTTAAGCGTATGCACAGCTGGTCCCCGCCATTTCGTCTGCTTAGGGTTAGGGAGACAGAGCTGGAAATCAGGTAAGATGGCAAGAGGAGTCCCGTCTTGCTCCACGTGCCCCAAAATAATAAGACCTCCCCAAAAATAAGGCCAAGCGCTTATTTCGGGGTGCCAAAAACATATAAGACAGGGTCTTATTTTGGGGAAAACATGGTAGGTGTACATGTATATGTATATATGTATGTATGTGTATGTTGGATAGAGAGATGATAGAGAGAGAGAGATAAGAGGAAGTTTGGTAGGTAGGTATATATAATACACACACACACATAAATATAAAGTACAGATGTATAGAAGAGCCTTGGTGGCGCAGCAGACTAAATTACTATTAAAGTAGCACTTAGCTGCCAGCTGCCTGCAATTACTGCAAGTTCAATTCTCACCAGACTCAAGGTTGACTCAGCCTTCCATCCTTCCGAGGTAGGTAAAATGAGAACCCAGATTGTGGAGGCAATAAGCTGACTTTGTATAAAATAGAACACCACTTAGGGCCCCCCAAAAAGCCCTACTAAGCAGTATATACAAAAGTATGAAGGCTATTGCTTAATGCATTAAGCATATGCGTTAATGCATAACGCCCCGGAGAAGGGCGGCATATAAATCGAACTAATAAATAAATAAATAAATGTGTGCGTGTGCGTTTGTGTATGATTTATATGAATAAGTCAAGGAGAATTGGATGTAAATTGCATTTCCCTGATTGTTCTATTACAATTACAATGCAGCGTGTTGCAAAGTGCAACACGCTGATCCAAACCGATTCACTCAGAGCAATTTCCACAGCAATGAAATTAATATTAACTTCACTACTTGTTGGCCTTAAACAAGATCGGGAAAAAATTATAAATATCATTGACAGAGAGCCGGGCAGCTTTTTCCCTCCAAGCTGTTTCGATTAGCCAGCAGCTAAAATAAGAGCACAAGATGGCCAAATGTTCAGATCAGTTTTTCCTCTTTAAACCCTTCTGAGAAAAGAAAAAAAAACAAAAAAAAAAACAAGCTCTGAATTTTCTAAATGATGCACCATCCAGGGCTTTCCATGCTGCTTTAGTCATCAAACCTGGTTCAAGGATTTTTAAGAGCACCCCCCTCCCCCGTTATTATTATTATTATTATTGCTGGGATCCATTGATCTGTGTACGGTCCATTTATCATTCATGAAAAGACCTGGTGATCTTCACGGTATATTAGAAGAAACAACTCAGATGATCTGTCAACGGCCTTCTCATTCCTGTTTCTCTCTACAGGGACTTTCATCTCCTTCCATTCTTCTTGAATTAAAATGTTGCTAAGCAACACCGCTGGGGGCACGGATGGCGGAAAGGCGAGACTCTATCAAACTGTTTAAGCGACTGGAGATTTCCATGTTGATGCTTTCATGCATATATACAGAGAGAGAGAAAGAGAGAGGGGGGAGAGAGAGAGAAGGAGGGAGAGGAGAGAGAGGGAAAGAGAGTGGAGAGAGAGGGGGAGAGGGCGAGAGAGAGGGAGAGGGAGAGAGAGAGAGGGAAAGAGAGGGAGAGAGGAGAGAGAGAGGGAAAGAGAGTGGAGAGAGGGAGAGAAAGAGAGAGAGAGAGGAGAGAGGGGGAGGGAGAGGAGAGAGAGGGAAAGAGTGGAGAGAGAGAGGGAGAGAGGAGAGAGAGAGGGAGGGAAAGAGAGAGAGGGAGAGAGAGAAGAGAGAGGGAGTGTGAGAGAAAGAAAGAGAGAGAGAGGAGAAGGAGAGGGAGGGAGAGGAGGGAGAGGGAGAGGGAGAGGAGAGAGGGAGAGAGAGAAGAGAGGGAGGGGGAGAAGGAGGGAGAGAGAGAGAGTGAGGGGGAGAGGGGGAGAGGAGAGAGAGGGAGTGTGAGAGAAAGAAAGAGAGAGAGAGGAGAGAAGAGAGAGAGAGGAGAAGGAGGGAGGGAGAGGAGGGAGAGGGAGAGAGAGAGGAGAGAGGGAGGAGAGAGAGGGAGAGGAAAGGGGAGAGATAGATAGATAGATAGAGAGAGAGAGAGAGAGAGAGAGAGAGTCTTTAATGGCATCTTCTGCAAAATGTTCTGAATCCAAATTTTCTGCCGAGGTGACGTGCCTCTGCCGTGTTTTCTATTCTTCTCCTGGCTTTGTTAACAGAGAGCACAGGGCATCCACAAAGATTACAGGGAGGGCTGAGAGGGAGAGAAGAGTCTGCCTCTGTAGAGAACCAGGAAAGGCGCGGGAGGGGGGGCGGGGGGCGGGGGAGAGGCAGACCTTCCTTAGCACTGCTAAGACTGTGCCACCAGATGGAGGTCCTTGGCCTTGCATCATCCCCAAAGGATCTCATTTGAAGCGGCTTTCCTAGAAATAGAAATAAGCGGTAGAGATAGAGACAGAGAGATGATAGATAGAAATAGAGATAGATAGAGATGGATAGATGATAGGTAGATACAAGATAGATAGATAAAAAGTGATTTTGGATAGATAGATAGACAGACAGACAGACAGACAGACAGACAGACAGACAGATAAATAGCTAGATAGCTAGATGGCTAGATGATAGCTAGATTAAGTAGATAACTAGATAGATTATATAGATAAGATAGATGATGACAGTTAAATAGATGATAGACAGATAGACAGATAGGTGAGGGATGGATAGAAGATAGATAGATAGATAGATAGATAGATAGATAGATAGATAGATAGGTAGGTAGGTAGGTAGGTAGGTAGGTAGGTAGACAGACAGAAACAGCAATAACACTTAAACTTATACACTGCTTCACAGTGCTTTACAGCCTTCTCTAAGCAGTTTACAGAGTTAGCTTCTTGCCCCCAACAATCTGGGTCCTCATTTTACCCACCTCAGAAGGATGAAAGGCTGAGTCAACCTTGAGCCTGGTGAGATTTGAACTGCCAAATTGCAGCTTGCTGGCAGTTAGCAGAAGTAGCCTGCAGTACTGCACTCTAACCACTGCGCCACCCCGGCAGATAGGTAGGTAGGTAGGTAGGTAGGTAGGTAGGTAGGTAGGTAGGTAGGTAGATAGATAGATAGATAGATAGATAGATAGATAGATAGATAGATAGATAGATAGATAGATAGATAGATAGATTCAGAGAGAGGGGGGAAGTGGCACAAAATCATAAAATCTAAAGGAATCCAACAATTATAACTACAACAATGAAAGGACCTGCCTTAAAGCAATCTTAAATAAAATAAAATAAATAAAACAAAATAAACCTTATCTAAATACAAGAAGTAACGGTTGGACGATCACTAAAGAGAGATCCAACCTAGAGCTAATAAGGAGAAGGAATTTCCTGACAGTGAGAACAATTCATCAGGAGTTGTAAGTGCTCCAACACTGGAAGTTTTTAAGAAGAGATTGGACAACCATTTGTCTGAAACAGAATAGGGCCGTGATGGCGAACCTATGGCATGCGTGCCACAGGTGGCACGCATAGTCATATCAGTGGGCACACCAGCTCAGGTCCTTTTTCATTTTTCAGGCCTTCTGAGCCCACCAGAACTAGGGAAACAGGCTGTATCCTGCCTTGGGGCTTGGGGTGGGAGTGGGGAAGGCCCGTTTTTTTTCCTCACCTGTTTCCAGATCCTCTCTGGAGGATCCATCTGGGGAGGATGAAAACCGCCTTCCCCACCCACCACCTTCTCCTAGAGAGGCTCTGGAGGCTGGGGACAGCAAAAAAGTCACTTCCTGTCCAAACTGGAGTTGGGAAATGGCCTATTTCAGGCATCCGGAGGGCCTCCGAGCGGGTGGGGAAGGCTGTTTTCGCCCTCCCCAGATGCCTAAAGAGGATCTGGAGCCAGGTGAGAAACGGGCCTACCAGGCCATCACGTGCCAGGAGCGGGGGGTGGGGAGGGGGGTTGCACGCACATGCGCAGGGCGGGATGCATAGAATTATGGGTGTGGGCACGCGTGAACCTCCCCTGCCCCCCCTCCTGGCACACGATGGCAAAAAGGTTCACCATCACGGGTATAGGGTTTCCTGCCTCCGCAGAGGGCTGGACTAGAAGACCTCTAAGGTCCCTTCCAATTCTATGATTCTACGTTCTATGTTACTAATCAGAAGGCATATGATCTTTGATGAAAAATACTTTGCAAGACTCAGCGTTTCCCATTCAGCAACAGTGAAAGTGAAATGGGGAGATAACACTCTGAAGGACAGACACCCGCTTGAAGTGATCCCTTCGGACGTTAACAGAGTGACATACACCGGCTGCTAATTTCGACTCTCAAAATGTGCATTAAGATAATGAAAGTAATTGAAAAATGGGGAGCAGCTTGAGATAGGCAATTGGGCCACTTTGCTGGGTAATTTCCGTACGGTTTTATCTTTATGGTGATAGGTTCCT